AGTCAGCGTCAGGACGAATGGATGCTATGTAGCCTTTAGCCTCTGCCACCGAGGAGAATCTCTTCTTACCTCCCTCCTTCGATACGATGGAAAGCCTAGCAGGGAACAGCAGGGCTGGCTTGAGCCCTAGGTTGTAAAGCTCCGCCATCACCTCTCGGTATTTGTAGCGCTGTTCCATCACTTCGGGTGTGTAGTCCTCGTAGATGGCGATGGGCGTACCTTGGTACTGTAGCTTGCCTCTCCTGGCCCGGGCCTCGCGGATAATTTTCTCCTTCTGCTGGTACCTGTGGACGCGGATGATGACCGGCCATGGCCTTTGCCCCGGCTTGGGCTTGTCGGTGAGTGAGCGGTGGGCCCTGTCGCACTCCGGCGGCGAATCAAGGACGCCCTCACCAAAGACCTCCATCAGCAGCTTCGGGAAGAATGTAGAGGGATGAGGGCCCTCAATGGATTCTGGCAAACCGACAATTCTTATATTGTTGCGCCGACTGCGGGACTCGAGATCAGTGACTTTGGCCAGCAGTTTAACATTGCTGTCCGTTAGCGTAGCACAAGTAGCCTCCAGGGCTAACATGCGTTCGTCCTGCAAGTTAGCATTGGACTCGAGCGAAGCAATTGTCTGCCCGGTCTGACACAGTCGCTTGAATTCGGTCTAGTTTTGCTTCGAGAGTTGAGATAGCAGACTTAAAGTCGGCAGAGAGAGCTCTTCAAGGAGGCCAGCTATGCCCGCCATGCTGAGATTGTTGCTAGCTAGCTCGGGGCTATCGGTCCTGGCGGTTTGTTCTTTTTTGTTTCTTTTCGCCGGTTTGGACGACATACTACCGTGGCGTTGTGAGTGGAATAATATTAATGTTCACTTAAATGTAAGTTAGAGAAGAGTTATGGGCTTCAGAAAAGTTACAACACAAAAGTTTGCGGGAGCAGAACTACGCACGTCTCTACTCCGTCATGCCCAACCGGAAGTCCCAAAATGCACTTTTTGATGTCTTTTATACATAAATATGTGTCCCCGGTGTGTAAGGAGACACAAAGTGTCATAAAATACAACGCTCTCTCTTTTCCTCCTTACCCACCTCTCTAAAAACGGGGAACAACGAAGCTGATCCAGATTTGCTGCAGTCATGACGACATTACCAAAATGTGGGCTGGCTTTACGCCCACGGAAACGTTGCTATCAGAAACAATGAGACGTGTTTTGGAAGTAACATGGTCTTTGTTTACATTAGCAAGCATCGCTAACACTCAGAGCCAGGGGCGCCGTAAGGGGGTGAAAAGTTAGGACGATTCTAAGGGCCCGTGACTGACAGGGGCCCAAACTATTTTAGAACATTAAGAAAAAAAATTTTAAGTAACCAATGTGATCTCTTTTCATGGGGCCCAAAATCCCTTGCGACGCCCCTGCTCAGAGCTAACGCTGTACTGGAGAGAGTATGTGTAAAGAACTCGGATATAAAAGGTACTGTCCTTGTGGTAACCCCGCGAGAGAGAAAGCGGTTGAGCTCCATACTGTTTCAGAAATAATGCTTGATGTGGTTTGGAACATAATATGTCGTTTAATCACGGAGTTTCTGCTGGTAGACACCCTTCTCTTCACAGAGCTTGCATGTGGACGCTCCAAAGGGGCGTGGCCATCAGCAGCTCCAAAAAGGCGTGGCCAGCATCAGCTCCAAAGGGGCGTGGCCAGCAGCAGCTCGGTTACATTTAAAGGTCCAGACCCAGAATCAGCACTTTAGGAGCAGGGCTGAAATAGAGGGGTATGAGGCATGCTACAATGGGTGATCTGTTTGAGCAAAACACTTCAGAGACATGTTTTTTATATGAAACCTATAATATATGCCTAAAAATAGTATAATAGGAGACCTTCAAAATTTGGCTCAGCTCGCTTGGCCGAGTTGATATGAAATAAAAATACCACTACTATTCATATTTCCCTAATGGGATGCAAAAGAAGAGCGGGTTGAGTAAACCTGTATCCTGCAGTGGAAACAGCCCTCTCTCCAACCACTGAAAAACAAATTGCGGCAAGAATAGGAAAATGTACTCTTTTTAGTTCAAATAATCTGAACCATCAGGCCAAATGCACAATGCATTAAGAAAGCTGCTCATTTCTACTTAACAAGCTTCACATCTAGCTAACCCTAAGTGCTTATTATGATACCGCTCATCAGGAGGTCAGATATACCACTGGTGCAACCAGTGCTTGAATTGGAATAAAAAAGGAGCCAGTACTCTAAATCAGCAACTGTTTCAAGTCAATTTATTTATACAGCCCAAAAACAAGTGTTTGGCTCAAAGTCATAGTATATCCTATAATGCTGGTGGGTTTGTCTCTTTACTGTATATTTTAGAAAGGCTCACTGTACTTAAACAAAATGACTCCGGGTCCATCTGAGATTAGAGGGGGTGCAGAGGTAAAGTGCTATTTTTATAAGTGGGGAGTGGACCTGACACCCTAGGGGGGTCCGGGGGCATGCTCCCCCAGGAAGATTTTTCTTTTAAATATTGAAGTTAGATGCATCAATCTGGTGCACTTTGAGAGCAAAATGAAGAGATCTATGGATACCTCTCAACATCCATAATGAAACAACTGTAAACAGATTTACTTTTTCTTTATGGATATAAAAGAAAGTAAAGCCTGACTCCTACTGGCTGGTTAAATGACTCCTCGTCCCTGAGTACACTCACCATCTTTCAGCAGGAAAGGAGAGAGGGAATCCTTGTCCGGCGACAACCGCTGTCTTTTCGGACTATTATTAAGCCACGCTAACATGTTCGAAATGCTAAAGTTATGTGATGTATTTTCTGCTCTAGTCTATCACTGCGGCGCGTCATAGATGCGTCATGAGATGCGTCATAGATGCATCATGAGATGCGTCATGAGATGTGTCATGAGATGTGTCATGAGATGAGTCATGAGATGTGTCATGAGATGCGTCATAGATGCGTCATGAGATGCGTCATGAGATGAGTCATGAGATGCGTCATGAGATGAGTCATGAGATGCGTCATGAGATGAGTCATGAGATGCGTCATGAGATGAGTCATGAGATGCGTCATGAGATGCGTCATGAGATGTGTCATGAGATATGTCATAGATGCGTCATGAGATGTGTCATGAGATGCGTCATAGATGCGTCATGAGATGTGTCATAGATGCGTCATGAGATGAGTCATGAGATGAGTCATGAGATGCGTCATAGATGCGTAATGAGATGCGTCATGAGATGAGTCATGAGATGAGTCATGAGATGTGTCATGAGATGAGTCATGAGATGCGTCATGAGATGCGTCATAGATGCGTCATGAGATGAGTCATGAGATGCGTCATGAGATGAGTCATGAGATGCGTCATGAGATGCGTCATAGATGCGTCATGAGATTCGTCATAGATGCGTCATGAGATGAGTCATGAGATGCGTCATGAGATGAGTCATGAGATGCGTCATGAGATGTGTCATGAGATGCATCATGAGATGTGTCATGAGATGTCATAGATGCGTCATGAGATGCGTCATGAGATGCGTCATAGATGCGTCATGAGATGCGTCATGAGATGTGTCATAGATGCGTCATGAGATGCGTCATAGATGCGTCATGAGATGTGTCATGAGATGCGTCATAGATGCGTAAGAGATGCGTCATGAGATGAGTCATAGATGTGTCATGAGATGTGTCATGAGATGCGTCATACATGCGTCATGAGATGTGTCATAGATGCGTCATGAGATGAGTCATGAGATGCGTCATGAGATGAGTCATGAGATGCGTCATGAGATGCGTCATGAGATGAGTCATGAGATGCGTCATAGATGCGTCATGAGATGCGTCATGAGATGAGTCATGAGATGCGTCATGAGATGAGTCATAGATGCGTCATGAGATGAGTCATGAGATGAGTCATGAGATGCGTCATGAGATGAGTCATGAGATGCGTCATAGATGCGTCATGAGATGAGTTATGAGATGCGTCATGAGATGAGTCATGAGATGCGTCATGAGATGAGTCATGAGATGCGTCATAGATGCTTAATGAGATGCGTCATGAGATGAGTCATAGATGCGTCATGAGATGTGTCATGAGATGCGTCATGAGATGAGTCATGAGATGCGTCATGAGATGAGTCATGAGATGCGTCATGAGATCATGAGATGAGTCATGAGATGCGTCATGAGATGCGTCATGAGATGCGTCATAGATGCGTCATGAGATGAGTCATGAGATGCGTCATGAGATGAGTCATGAGATGAGTCATAGATGCGTCATGAGATGAGTCATGAGATGCGTCATAGATGCGTCATGAGATGCGTCATGAGATGCGTCATGAGATGCGTCATGAGATGAGTCATGAGATGAGTCATGAGATGCGTCATAGATGCGTCATGAGATGAGTCATGAGATGCGTCATGAGATGAGTCATGAGATGCGTCATAGATGCGTCATAGATGAGTCATGAGATGAGTCATGAGATGAGTCATAGATGCGTCATAGATGCGTCATGAGATGCGTCATGAGATGCGTCATAGATGCGTCATGAGATGAGTCATGAGATGCGTCATAGATGCGTCATGAGATGAGTCATGAGATGCGTCATGAGATGAGTCATGAGATGCGTCATGAGATGCGTCATAGATGCGTCATAGATGCGTCATAGATGCGTCATGAGATGAGTCATGAGATGAGTCATGAGATGAGTCATGAGATGCCGCCCGCGGCTGAGTACCGGCATTTTACTGAGTACCGGCACCTTGCCGGTACTCAGTAAGAAGTGCCGGTACCACATGGGTAAAAATCAGAAGTGCCGGTACTGCGTACCGGTGAGTACCGACCCAATTCAAGCACTGAGTGCAACATGATGTGTCCAGAATGTGCTCTTGGGTTTAAAAACACCTGACTTCTTTCTGGCTTGTAAACGCTCTATGTATTTACCTGGATGCTCCTCAAACAAACCCTTTCCCCCCTTCTCTCCTCTGTAAATAACTCTGTAATTCTTCTTCCTCAGGTTGCTGGAGACGAGGAAACGCTGGGCGCTGCTCAGTCAGAGAGTCCCAGAGGGGAGGAACCCATCAACCTTCAGCTGACCAACGCCTACGAGTACGGCCAGGCCCTGAACGCAGCGCGCTGCAGCGGGAACACGGCGGCCTGCGCGGCCCTGCTGGCCTCAACACCCCCCGAGAGGCTTCCCCACTTCCTGAGCACCCAGCTGGATGGGAACACCATCAGCTTCATCATGCAAGCACTGGACTCACACCTCCTGGAGAAAGACCCCCACCTGGTGTACCAACACCTCCATCATCTGCACACCACCCACAGGTTCTCGGTGAGATGCTTCATATAAGTCAATAAGTAATTTAGCAAAATCACATCTCCCGGGTTGGAAGGGACAGACAGACAGACAGACAGACAGACAGACAGACAGACAGACAGACAGACAGACAGACAGACAGACAGACAGACAGACAGACAGACAGACAGACAGACAGACAGACAGACAGACAGACAGACAGACTAATAATAATAATAATTTCAATTTATATAGCGCCTTTCACGAAACCCAAGGACGCTTTACAATGGGAAGTAACACAACAAAAAGTACTAATAATCATACAGATACATAGGCTGAAGAAAACAAAACAGGAACAGGTTGCTGAGTACTGTATATTAGTTGAGGCCAAAGGCCTGAGTGAACAGATGGTGTTTGAGGTGTTTTTTGAAGGTGTCCAGAGTGTCTGCATTCCTGATTGCAGAGGGGAGAGAATTCCAGAGGGTGGGGGCTGCGACACTGAAGGCTCTGTAGACAAATGTTTTCAGCTTGGAGCGCTGGATGGAGAGCAGCCCTTTGTCAGAGGACCGCAGGTGACGAGAGGGGGTGTAGGGCTGAAGGAGGTCAGAGATGTATGGAGGGGCTAGGGAGTGGAGAGATTTGTAAGTTAGCAGGAGGAGTTTGTACTGGATGCGTGACTTGACCGGGAGCCAGTGAAGGTGGATGAGGGGTGATGTGTTGACAGACAGACAGACAGACAGACAGACAGACAGAAAACAGACAGACAGACAGACAGACAGACAGACAGACAGACAGACAGACAGACAGACAGACAGACAGACAGACAGACAGACAGACAGACAGACAGACAGACAGACAGACAGACAGACAGACAGACAGACAGACAGACAGACAGACAGACAGACAGACAGACAGACAGACAGACAGACAGACAGACAGACAGACAGACAGACAGACAGACAGACAGACAGACAGACAGACAGACAGACAGACAGACAGACAGACAGACAGACAGACAGACAGACAGACAGACAGACAGACAGACAGACAGACAGACAGACAGACAGACAGACAGACAGACAGACAGACAGACAGACAGACAGACAGACAGACAGACAGACAGACATACAGACAGACAGACAGACAGACAGACAGACAGACAGACAGACAGACAGACAGACAGATAGACAGACAGACAGACAGATAGATAGATGGATTAGTGATCCCAATTTGGGAAATTATTTTGTTACAGAAGCATCAGTGTTTGGACATTAAAATGAATATACTTAAAAAGTGGAACGTATTCTGTTACAATTACAAATGTTACCTTGACCTGTTCAAAAGTAATCAGTTACCTAACCAATATCAATATAGTAATGTAACCTGATTACTTTGTTACTTTTGGATTACCTTAACATAAAATAAGCAAATAGACAAGGTCACTCTGTAACTGTAAGGGAAAAGTTACAGATCTTCTCCTAACTACGTAATTCCATTACATATGATATTTTTTTCCCCAAGCCTGCATATTTCCTTACATAGATCACCACGAGCACTATTGAATTAAAACACGTTGTTGTGCTCTGTGTGGTTTTGGTGATGAAATGCTGTGTTTTTTATCAGGTTGTATTGATGCTGCTGGAGAAGGACGAGCGTCGCTACATGACCCAGCTGTTTGAGCATCTGTCTGCTGTGCAGAGCGCAGAGTTCACTAAGAACGATGTCCAGAATCTGGCCAACAAGTACATCTGACCCCCCAAATCTCCCCCCCTCCCCCTGCTGCATGAGCATCTGCACCACTACAACTCTTGGATCTATGCAAAACGATGCACAACAACTGAGTCCACAGACAGGAAGCTGCAGAAGGCGCCCCGGTGGAATGTGTTCACTGCTGTGCTGTAGATGAACTGATCACTGTATGTTTAAGTGACAGTAAGGAATATATTTTTCTGCCCAGAACATTTTGCTATGCAGATTTACTTTTGTACCACCATTTGCATTGTACAACATCAAGGCAGTGGGATAATATGGACCTTTCACTTTAGTGTATTGATACAAAAAGGTCCAATGTACAATTTCATGCAACGCTACAGGCACGTGTTCCCCTCTCAGGACTGGCTCATGTTCCCCGGAAGGAGTCCTTTGTTATCGAGCTTCATTCAGACAGCAGCTGAAATCAGAAATTATATTTAGTTCTGGGTGAATAGAGCCAAGGAACATGTGAGCTCATTTGCTACTGAGCTAAGAAAGGTCTCTGTTGCTTTGGGTTTAATCCATAAGATAAATGAAGTTTTATTTTGACCATATGTACTCTATGATCTGTGTGGGGGAATGGACCTGCTTTCATTGCTCTTCTGTGCAGTTTGATATCAGTATCTGTTGAACTGATATAAACTGACAGTTGTAGAAAACAAGATTCTTATGTCAAGAGTCAAAGGCAGTTTGTTGTCTCATGTCCATAAGGAATGACAGGAAGTCATTCACCCATTTGTTTACCAAATGAGCCATGCAGATGTAACCTGCAGAGAAGCAGCATCTTTAGACTTCAGGCTAGGGATGAGTGTGCAGATACTTCTAGAGAAAGAGTATATCTATATCACTTTTTAATGGTTTGGATTTATGCATAATAAATCATACGTATATTCACTAAGCTACATGCGCGTAATTGTTTGAAATATGTCATTTATTTGCTAACTTTCAATGTTTAGTATTTCATTATTGAACATTCCAGTCATCCAAACCATTGTTTTCAAAGGTTTTACAAATTCTACATGAATGTACCAAATGTAGTCAAGGGTGACAAGAGGCAATAACTTCACATGTTCCAGTTTCTTCTCACTGCGGTTTGAACGTACTTCAATAGAGATGTAGTGTTCACAGAGGGCTGTTCAATCAACTGGGGAAATGTTTTCTTCTCTGTGCTAAGGTGAAATGAAAGTGTTAAATAAAAATAAAATGGATTAACAGTGCTTGCATTGACTGATAAACAGAGGACAGGACAAGAATAATTCATATCTTTTTTTTATTTTTCTGATATGCATATAGTAAAGCAAATTACCAAACAAATATACCTTATGCCATTCTGCACAAATTACAAATGATATCTGGCACTAGTGTGGAAATTAGGATCAAGAAAAGTGAAGTTTTGGTAAAGAATGAGAAACGAACCCAGGGAGAAAAAACAAGACAACATGTTTGCTTTAATGGGGGGGAAGGACTGCAGCATGTAGCCTTATCAACTGAACCAGAATCAGTGATCATTCAGTAACAGACTTGGGTCAACATACCATCCAAGATGCTTTGAGCTTCCTGCTAGAGGTTCACCCGAGCGGCTCAGGGTAAAGCTGACCACTGAGCAGTGAAGACAGGCTTTAGCAAAGTGTTGAAAACTGAATTTGACTTCAAGTCTGCTCAGCAGCACCGATTGGCAACACAAACAGAAGTCAGAGTAAAGTCAACAGGGAAGGTAACCCAGACCCAACCTTTGTATCCCCGCTAACCTCTGCGCCTTGCAGAACAGCAACGCAATAAGAAATACAGAGAACAGTGCAGGTGCCTTGGGCGTTTGGGAGGCCTCAGATATTTGCATTGGTGAAGCATGTACAAAAACAGCAGAGTGTGTGTCTGTATAATCCTGGGGCGTAGCTTCATTCACCCCCAGGAGGACAAAGGATGCATACTGCGTCTACAGGCGACAAGCCAACGGTTTAAGATTTAACAAAAGCCGGAGTGCTGTCTTTGGTAGGCAATTGAAAAGTCTTCATTTACCATGTCTACCACAGTATGTTGTGTATGTGAATGAGCATCCCTCCTACACAGACAGACAGACATTCTGCAACCTATAATGAGTAGTTGTTTGAGGTGTTAAAGACACGGTGTAGAGAAGAACAGAACACAAACAGCTCTTGAAGGCACCATGAGTTACAAAGAAAGATATCAAAGCTCTCTCTTACTCAGTGAGGCGAGGCCGTCAGCCTGAATAAATCACCTTTGAACAGGACAAAACATTTTCTTTATACAATTTCACAGAATTGACCAACCCATTGGTTCATTTTAAAATAATGACTTTCAGCATTATCTCAAAAACTGTGGCCTTCCAGAGACCTTTCTCAAAGCAACCCCTTACCCTCAACATATCATAACAAGCCTTCCACAGAACAAAGCAGGGTGTCCAAAGTCATTTTGCACTAAAACACACACTGAGTTAAAGGCAATGTCAGCTACAGGTCTAAACTGGATCAGTTGTGTCCATCCATCTAAACAGAATCTCAGTTGGGGTTTTTTTTGCGCAAAAATGATGAAGGATCTTAAACCCAGGCGTTAAGATTATACGTTACAGTTCAAACAAACATCCAGGAAGGAAAATATTATAATAAAGGTTCTTCTGTTACTTAAGTTTGGGGGTGGGGGGGCAGAGGAAATAGTGAATCGTATTGCCTGGTCCCTGTTTGAGCTCACATCTGGAAAGCTTAACACTAAGGTTTCTGCATGCTGTTGCATCGTGGAGGCAAATTTAAATACTAGCAGAGCTGGCACAGTGGTTGGGTTTATCCTACACAGATCAATGGGACAGCAACCAATATCTGTTTCAAGCGGTCACTGAGTGAACTGTGAACAGAAAGAGTCTGCAGTGTGCGGCTGCTCAGGGAGAACCAGCATTCATAACCTTACATTTCTCACCAGGCTGCACTTTGGAAGGCTAGTAATACTCCCAACAAGCCCGTCAGCGGACAAACACACATCTGTTAACTCAGGGCTGCTTTTAATGAAGGAGAAGAAATCCCAAAATAACACAGCAACTTTAAGGGAAGGACATGTCGGTTAAACTGTACGCTTGTTGTTAGTTTCGGAGGAAAAGACGTTAACCCAATAGCATGTGTGCAGCACTTAAGGTATTGAGATGTCATGTCAGTCTGTATACAGGCGTTCTTGGGCTGTGGTGGTGGGGGGGGTGGTTGTTGTTGTTCTCTTTTAGCTCTCTGGTGTTGCTGTGAGAGTCCAGCTCAGCAGGGCACACCAGGTTGACATTCTCCTCTGTGATGTAGCAGAGAGGGGGGGGCTCTGCGCCGGGGCCCAGGGAGGAGGTGGTGGAGTGGGGGGAGTTCACAGCTCCATGTCCCTGTGAGGAGGAAGCAGAAGTAGGGCAGGTCTCCAGGCGGTCGTTCTCCACCTCAGGTAAGGGGCTGACGGTGGCGAAGCGGGGGTGGTAGTCCCCCCCACTGGAGCCGTGGCTGCAGGACGTCTTCATGCTCTCCAGGTCCGAGCAGCTGAACTCCGAGAAGTGGCTGGAGTGAGAGTCGGCCACAGAGGGCAGGCTTCCGCTCAGCGAGGGGGAGTCGAACTCGGAGGAGTGGGTGCTGCGCTGCTCCAGCAGCTGGGCGTCCAGGTCCTCCCGCGTCTCCTTGATCTTGGTGCCGCCCCCTTTCTTGCGCAGCTTGCTTTTGCTCTTTTTGGCCCCAGAGCTGGAGGAGGAGGAGCAGGATGCCTCTTTGGCCCACTTTGTGGAGGTGCCTTTGCCTTCTGAGGACGGGCAGCCACTGGAGGGGCAAGTCCAGCCGCCAACATGGCCTCCATCCTCCACGCTGCTGCTGCCACTGTGCCGCCGCAGTTTGCCCGGTTTGGATTCAATGTCCACCTGGACCTCCATACTGTGCCCATCTCTGAAACATGAGAGGGAGGCATGACACAAACAATAATCTGAAGGAATGAAGAGAAAACTTTAGCAGTGTATATGGGTGTGGGTGTGTGGGTAGCATGACAAAAGAGTCTCAACCGGTCGATCGCGATCGAGAGATTCCCAGTCGATCACGAGATGTGTCTAAAAATAGAACAACAATATTCTGTTTTATCGTTAATGTCCTATAACATAATCTTCCTGTGCCAGAATAATGCACTTGAATGCATCAAAGCTTTGTGATTGGCCGGCGTGACCCCATGTGTCGGGGCGTGGCTGGTGGGCAGTGGGCACTATTTCGCTGACATTGTCCGTGTCAACAGGAGTGACAGTCCGCACACACACAAGACCGCAATTATGGCAGAAGCAAAAAAGCCCAAAATATATAATTTTCACTCCGAGTGGGAGGATGATTATTTTTGTATCTATTCCAATTCAAAGTCCATCTGTCTCATCTGCAATGCGAGCGTGACTTTATCGAAGAAGGGTAATTTAGGAGCGGCATTTCAAAACAGTGCACAAAAGCTACGAGACGGAATTCCCTCCTAATTCTGCCCTACGCTCCCAAAAGGGGAGGGGCCTGAAAGGACAGCTAAATGCACAGCAGTCCATTTTCACCCGGTCCAACAACAAGAGCAAGGCTGCTACCAGAGCATCTTATCGTGTCAGTCACGTTCTTGAGAAACACATGAAGTCTTTCAAAGGCGGCGAAGTTGTGAAAGAAGCATTCCTGGAGGCTGCCGACGCGCTTTTTGGGGACAGTAAAAATAACAGAAGCATTTCAACAGGTTTTTGATATAATAAAAACTCAAATTAGATACCGTTATTAATCAGCTGTAAGTTTTAGTTTGTTTGAACTTATTCATTATAATTATTGTACATAACGGTATAAGAATGCAAACTTAAATTGATTATAGTCTATTATCAATTCGGGTTAAGAAACTAGTGTTGCTTGCATCCTATTTTAAAGGCATTTCTTTTTATACTCGACTAAAATGCAACAAAAAAATGGTTTGATTCTATTAATGTTGTCTTTTTTATTGCACTTTGGCAGCAGATTCCTGTGTAGCTTCAGATCTGAGTTGTCTTATTAGTAAGCCTCATTTATACTTTTGTAGCAACACTATTTTTATATAATGGCAAAGAAAGGGTTCAGAGTCTTTTCTTTTTGTCCTGTGTCATATGTGGCAGCACTGTTCAATGTTTCTTGAAAACATTACCCACTGTAGTGACGTGTGAATAAACTCCAACTCTGTATCAACAACACTGTTGTGTAACTTCAGTTAAATACTTGTATGTGTGTAGATGAGAAAGAGGTAAGATAAAGGATCTGCAGGATTTTATGAAGTATTCATCGTACAAAGTTCAGTTTAATACAAGTAGAAGTGTGTATTTACCTGGTAGTAGGCTGTCAGTAATGGCTACGCTCTCTATTTGGACTGGTATATCTCGGCAGACTGGCAACTTTAAAAGTAGCTCTCAGTTAAAAAAAGGTTGGGCACCCCTGGGCTACATTGTTGGCAGCTTGTTGTAACATCACTAAAAACTAAATGCCTCTATAATAAATACTGGATCCTCATCTTAAATACAGCCAACCCACATGAATATTCTATCTTACAATTTCAAATATTAATAGTTGAATGCCTTTCTTCAGTACTGACGTGAGCAGTGATGTTCAAGTTATAGATATTTCACTGTCTCCTATTTCAGACAGAGATTACAGAAAAGCGCACACATGTTGATGCCCTCTCTCTCCTGACAGCTTCCTGAAATCTAAACCGCCGGTCAGCCCACCTGTCCAGGGGCATGTAGGCGTTCAGAATGGATCCAGCCATTGCTTTGGTGCTGGCGTTGTCGCTGATGGTGCCCAGGCTGACGGTGCCAGACTCCCCGCTCAGACTGCAGCGCTCCTTCTGCACATCCGCCTGCACCTCCAGCCTGACAGCATGTGACAACAACATATATCATTAATATATATAGGGCTGTGGTTGTAAACTCAAACTAATTAAAAAGACTCAAACTGAACTAAAACAAGATTGCATGGCTAAATTAAAATTAAATAATCATAAAGACAAATCATTTATCTATTATAATGTAATCAATACCAAAGAATGACAAAGCAGGAATGTCTGTAAACTCTGCAACATTAAACTCCAAAAATGGAACAGATTTCAATATTGTAGTCCATATGACGTGTTGGTTTTTAACTCCACTGAATCCTCTACCGACCGGCTTAACGCCTGGAAGGGAGATATACAGGAGGATATTTCCTTGGATGACGGGGGTGTGATATGCACATGGGCAAACTGAGAATACCAGATTCAAATAGCTACAACACAACTGGCTGATGCGCACGTACATAACACCTGTGAGATTAAATCAGTTTAATAACAACATTCCAGATATTTGTATTAAGTGTGAACAGTCTAAAGGCACACTTTTCCACTGCATGTGGGAGTGCAAAGAGATTGCAACTTTCTGGTGCGAGATCTCACAAATAATTCACAAAATGCTTGATGTTAAGATACCTCTTGATCCTAAATGGTTTATTTTGGGACTTTACCCCTCCACCCCAGTCATAACAAAGAATAAAAAGAATCTCATAAACATGTGTTTACTCCAAGCAAAACGCTCGATTGCCTTGTCATGGAAGAACACTCAGAGGCCACAGGTGGGCCAATGGCTGAGGGAAATGAGTAATTGCTGTTCTATGGAGAAGATAACGTATATTCTGAAAAGGAAAAATGAAACCTATGATAAGGTTTGGGTTCAACTGTTGTCTGTTAATGTGTCAAACATGCTGAGAAATAAGGGACAGGGATCTGGTTGAAAGGAAAGTACTTCTTAAACTGCAGTCAGTATGTACTCTTTTTAGGATAATGTTGCTACTGCCCAATTGTTTTTGTTTTTATTTCATTTCATTTTATGTATTTTTTTTAATTAGATATTTCAATATTATTTTAATGATGTCCTTTCTTGTCTTTGCCTCGGTTTTTGCCATTTTTGATGTAAGTTTGTGTTAGGTTTGTCGTGTCTTGTAACTATGTTGTTTAAAATAATTAAAAATGAATAAACACAGTTTAAAAAAGATATTGTAGTCCATGATTAACCACCAAGCTGTTCAGCTCAGGTTCGTCAGCCCACGGGGGGGGGGGGGGATTCTGACACAATTAAAAGATTGAAATAGTATGGCCACTCTTACACAGTTCTAAACACCATGTATTTTGTATGTATGAAGCTACATCTCTTTGAGACATTATGCCTGCTTTTGAAGAGAACTCAAAACAATTGTGAAAAGCCTAAACTAAACCTTTCTTAGAACCTACAGAAAACTAAAACTAGCAAACACAACAGCAAAAAAAGTAATGTGAAATTGTCAAAGTCAAAACTAAAATGTGGTTTCAGTACCTGTTCAGGTAGTGCACCATGGCGCTGCCGGAGAGGCTGCTGGTGATGCTGGCCCCGGCCAGGGCCCTGGTGGACGCCGTCTCACTCAGGCTGTCCCTGGTGGCCCCCACACGGTCCATGTGGCTGCCGCTGGCACTCAGGCTGCCCGTCAGCTCCCCCACACTGCCTTCACCTATACTGGGGTTGTTTCTGGTGTCTGCCACTGATGTAGTATCTGCATAGAAAGAGCCATCATGAATGATCAGTCCCAATCGGGAATGAAGGTCAGTGCTGGGTCTTAAATTATGAAATTAGAATCAGGAATTGTTTAAGAAGCCATGAGCTTTGGGTCTCTAAGAAGATGCACAAAGAGGACAATTTTCTCTTCAAACCAGCAGATTTCTCTAGGACAGGGACTCGGTGGTTTATATGTCAGCAAAGACTTGGGAATAAACACATAAAGTCACTCTTGGGTGTCTTTATAGGTGGGGGGAAGAGGGGGTTATTTGGGGTGTGGGCAGTGAAGCCTACCAGTGGCCCCCGCCCCGCTGCCAACATTCATGTCATTCTCGTCGTCAAATTCTATGCGAACTCCTTTGCCATTCCCAGCAGAGACTCCACACCCCCCGCTCCGGCACAGTGAGATGGGCACCACGCCGTAGACGTACGCCAGCATGATGGGAACTCCAATTCCTGAGGACCAGAGACAGAGAGACAGAGACCAGCAGGGACACTTTAGACCAGGCATTATACACAAAACAGTGGAGCACACTATCGCATGCACACCGCATACAAAACCATCTCTTTTTCCATCTTCATGTAGAGAAGAGTAAAAAACGATTAGCTTTTCAATAGTTATGTTATGGTATGTTATGTAACTTAGTGATTAGTAAGGTAACTAGTTGACTTCAAGTAAGCTACAAGATATTCTTTTAAATAATAGGAACTCTGAGAATAAACAAAATAAATTCCTGAGGCTAGCAAAGTAAAACAAGGATATGTCAATGAAAATAGTGCGTGAAGGGGACGGACACTGACCCACAGTGACTGCAGCCACCACTGGAGACACGATGACAGAGAGAGTCACCCCCCCCGCGATCACCAGGTTCCTCTTGTGGTTGGCGATATCTTTGCCTTCATAACGGTTGTGGATCTTTCAGAGAGAAGCAGAGCAATGAGACTCACACAGTCCGTGTCCAAAGCAGCTGAGAGCACAGTTTTGTGGCCTTGAAGACACCACATTATAGGACTGACAGTAGACAGGAACAGTGTCAACAACTCTACATTGTTAGATTGAGTGGAAGACTCATGTTATTTTAATCTCCTAACAACTGGTGACATGGTAGCCAACAAGCCAGAGTGGGAAAGTAATTCTCCAGTGTACAGTAACCAGCCACCGATGACAGCTGACATTATTTTGAGAATAGATTAAAGCAGTGGTTCCCATCAGGGAAGGATGCTGCAGGATTCTCTCCCCGTGTAGTGAGCGTTTTCCGGATTCCAACATTCAGTGCATTTTCGACTTCTGATCCCTTTGCTGGGAGAAATGTTTCAAAATATGTGAACTCTGCCTGAAGTGTTTGTGCTGATTCAGTGTCTGTGTGTCAGCAGAGCGTCAGAACAAAGGCAACGTCTGTCCGAGGCAAACCCAGACTGTTCACCCAATCAGTGTTTTTATTGTCCTCCTCTGTCACTGAGTGACAAGGTTCATTTAATGTTGAAATTCTTGCCAATAAAGATTTAAGTGAGATATTTTTCAGAATTTGGTTGACTTGGGTTGAGAGATTTCTGCCAGCTCAGGCCACAGAGACAAAGTACTTCTGATGAGACTTGTAACTTTATTGCAAGTAACTGGCCTTGTCATGGTGATTCATCAGGCTCCATATTTAAAGTCAAGACTGAACAGCTTCATTCATGCAGGGCATGTGGAATGCAGGTGATTCATGCTCAGAGGTTTCACATGTGTCATGTGAACCCAGCTGAATGTGCTCTGGTTTGTCAGGGAGGAAAGGTTTGTTGGCTCTAGCTTCTTTTTGGCAGGCCTAAAAAGGGCAATTCTGGAGAGTCTGAATACTTTCATTTTGTTATAATGTCAAGTTCTTATTGGACAAGCAGAAACTGATTAGTGATACAGCACAACCCAAGTGTATATACTAGGGCTGTCAGTCGATTAAAATAGTTAATCGTGATGAATCGCAAATTAATCGCACATTTTGTACCTGTTCTAAATGTACCTTAGAGGAATATTTTTCAAGTTTTGAATACTCTTATCAACATATGAGTGGACAAATATGCTTTATGCAAATGTTAGTTTATTATCATTGGAACAATGACAATTATTCTCCTGAATATTTTCAACACAACAACCTGGAACCTCTCTCTCTCTCTCTTACACTCTCTACCAACCCTGTGTACTTCTCTGCACTGAGCCAGTTGCTCAAACAGACAAGCCTGTTTACAGTTGTCGGCGAAATGCCGCTCCTCTGTCTTCATAACAGTCAAAGCATGAGACTGAAGTTCCCACTGTGCGTCAAAATAATGCGCTGTGCAGTCGACACGTTGGATGCAATCCGAATGATCAAACGCAGCCCCTCGTCCTCCACAATGTTAAGCTGTAGTCACCCATTTAGCTATCGCTGTTGTTGTCCAGGCGTCTCCCCGGCAAACTTTCAAGCGTGGTCTGCCGCAAGCGAGCGGCAGGAGCGGGGCTGTCAGCATCAGCTGTGTGCTTGGCTTGCTGTTTAAAACACCTTTTTTTGTATCCATATATCTCGCTAAAATCTCCCACCATCCAACTAACAACAACAACAACGTCAAGCCTTTGGACTCTGAAACTACGGGGCGGGCCGAGGACAAATACACATGCGTCAATCGCACCTTAAAATAATTAGTGGCGTTAAAAAAAAATTGCTTTAACGCGTTATTAACACGTTAACTTGACAGCCCAATATAGACCTATAATATATAATCATTCTGTCCTCAGAGAAAATAAATAAAGTTTTCCTTCCATGATGAGGACATAATGTGCGAAGGTATTTTTGCCAACGTGCATATTTGTCAGTGTTTGCTGTGTAGTGTGTATTTATTTGTTTCTTATATTCATTTACATTTAGAATATAAACGATAATGTTTATTTTCATATATAACTATTATGTACAGAAATAATCATATTATTAATCATAATATACCATAAATGTGCACCGACTAGTTGCTTTACTGGGCATCAACTAGAAAGCTCTTTAGTCCAGGCAGCCCTACATACAGTAAATCTAACATATACAGATCCAAATGAGTCAATGTTCTTCTTGTCCAAGAAACTCTACAAGCAGGGGAACTTAAAAATGTGTCTCCAATTCCTCACCTTCCTCCCAACATATACAGGGATGCCGATAATCATGGCGGGAATAGCAATACCAGCGATTAGAGCGATGCCGACGGGGGCTCCAACAAGCGTTCCCAGCTGCCAAAGAATCTTTTTCTTCCTGCTCCATGGCTTCTTCCCCCAGAAAGTACAGCCTGACGGACTGAGAAAATGTAGAAAGGGAAGACAAGTTAAGGAAAAAGAAGAAAAAAAGGAGGCGAAGCTACATTTCCTTTCGTACAGTCGAAACTGGGATAGGTCTAAACCTTTTATAGTGTTACATAACTGAGGGAAAAGTGTTTCTCCCTGTCGAGACAACAGGTATCAAAGTATGCTGGTTGGCTTTATGGCTTTTCCCCAAAAAAGGGATTTGAATTTAGCATTGCAGGTCGGAAACCTTGAGAGGTGGAACAACTCAACAGGCTGTTGTTTTACTTATCCAAGCCAAAACTCAGAAAAAACTAAACTTTTCTCAAAACATTAAACCAGCATCAGAATGTTCACTTTCACTTCAACGGAAAGTAGAGCTGTTAACAATAGAACTACCTTCCTCCTTTCTTTTTGAAGTATCATTGCTCCAGTGGTTGCTGGACATGGGTATCTTATAACACTATATTTATTTGATCTCTCAGTGAGGGAAATGTTTGTCTTTATTTTACAGATGTAACCTGCATCTTATGTGTCTTGTTAAGTGCTCGTTGCTAGGTGAGGGACACCAAAGTTAATTAGAGAATGCAATTCCTGAAGAAATTGCTAGTGGGAATGCTTTATGCTGAAAAGCTGACGCTAAACTTCTATGCTGAAATGTAATGTGTAAGAAGAAAGTGAAGAATTTAGATTGAAATGATACATGAACACTGGGGGCTTGAATGTGTGATGAGAGAAGAAAAGAAAGTAAAAAGGTTTGGAAAAGCAGCAGAATATTTGAACTGCAAATTTCTGAACTAACTTGATGGCGAATGATCTGTCGCCATGGCAACGGCATTTGATGACACCCCATAATACGCTTAGATGCGTTGATGGCTGCATTGTTACCAAACCTGTGAAGTTTTGGGCCATTTGGAGCAGTTTCACTGAAGTTATGAGAAAACCGTGTTTCATGGCGAGCATTGTGTTGCCATGGCAACGGCATTTGAAGAAATCTCAAAACTGTCCCGTAGATGTCTTCACGGCTGGACTGTTCGCACACATGTGAAGTTTGAGCACTTTTTGAACATTTTCATAGGAGTTATAGCAATATCGTGTTTTATTGCAAGGGATGCGTTGCCATGGCAACAGCTTTTGAGGAAAATTGCGAGTGAAAGTATGAAGGAACAGTTAGCAGTTGAAGTCGCATGAAGATTTTTCAAGTCTGAAGAGTTTCTCCATTGACTTCCATGTTAAAAATGTGATGTATTATGGGATATATCTCTGGAATTATGAAAGTTATGAATGAGAAAAGTAATAGCCATTGATTCCCGATCGAGCTGAACGTTTTGATGTTAGAACGGAGTTTCTGCGATGTGGAATGTGGGAGCAGAAGAGGCGCAAAATAACCCGGTGGAATAAAAATAAAGAATTTTGTGCGTAGAAGAATAAGTAGTGGGAATGCTGTATCAGCATTATTTAGTGGGAATAATGCTGTTTACAGCATTCCCACTAAATAATGGGGAAGTTCGATTGAGTGGTTAGGGTTTCCTAACCAAAGTTAACATGAGTTGAATTAAGATAAATGGTATTCTTAAATTAAGTTAGGATTGGCTTTTGTACCAAATTGGGCAAAGTCCTATTGTAGGCATTATCTGAATCTGGGTTTATGAAGATGTGTGCGTTTGAATAAACCGACCTCAGGTAGTGCAGGTCTGAGATCTCCTTCATGCACAGCCAGCAGAACTCACAGCCACACACAGCGCAGGTCATGTGGTTACAGCTGCCGTCGTTCATTTTGATGATGTAAGCAGCACAGCGCGGACATGGCTTAATGTCATCAGCTGAAAGGAAAGAGAGAAAACTATTCAGTGTACATCATATCAAAGTTTCAGTGGCGACTCGTCATTAGGGGCAGGTGGGAGAGCCCCACCTACAATCAGTAGAAAATAATTACAATCATTGTTCAGTGTCAAATAAATGTTGAAATATATTTTGATGATCTAATTTAGCGGTCTCTACATTGCTGCTTGAGCCGGGTTGAGCGATGTGGGGCAAGCCCCTCTCTCAAAAATGAGTGTGTACTACGAAAAGTATGCTGCGCATGCTCAGAGTATTTCTTTATTCAATGTGTGCGGCATAAAATGAATCACAAGTGGGGAAAAGTAAGTGTAAGTGCCGCAAAAAGTGTAGTTGTGAAGAGGAGACAAGGGAGCACAGATAGATATATAAATATAATATATGCCCCACCAGTTTTGTAAATCTAAAAACACTGCTGACTATGCTCAAAAGATGGCGTATGTCAATTTCTAAGCAAAGTTTGTGATTAATAAAAAACAAACTTGGCAGGAAAATGTGCGGTCATCCACGGACACGCATGCGTTCGCACAGAAACGAGAAACTACAACATCATAGCAGTAGGATGAAAGGAGAAAAATAAAACAAAATATTAGCACTCGTATATGAGAGTTCATTTTCAAAAACAGATAAATGGCAATCTTACAATGAATAAACAAACACCTGCTTGATACTCCCTTATTGGACACATTTAAAATAAATTATAATTATAATAATACAGATATGTTATTGCAAATAACCCCTCAAATATGTTTTATAATTATTACAGGCGACAATGCTTGCCTTTTATGATATGTATTCTCATAAATAATGAGGTAAACAGAAAGACAGATTAAGGTTTAAACTGACAGCGTTCTCCATGCCTATAGGTTGTGCAGATATTACACAATTCTGTGTTTAAAATGTGTTTTATTGTAGAGAACTTTGAAACTGGGCTTTTAAACAATCCTTTACAAATGAAGATAATCTAATGATGTCGTGCACCAAGACGTGATGAGTTGCTTGTTAAAACATAGGAGTTATGGAAACAAATAACAATTGATCTGTGAAATGTTTGTCTCGGCCCGTCTGAGCTAGCAGCCTCACAGCGTGTGTCATGTCCAACTGTGTACACCTAACAATATTGTTTACTTGTCTCCCCCTTCCCAACAACAACTTCGATATTCCACTACACTTACTTAGCCGTTCTGTCGCCGATTCCTATGATCGTCTTTGTGCAGTCAGTATAAATGAATATAAGGGGCGTTTCACTGACCAAATTTGATAGGTTTGTATATGTTTTTGGTCATTGATTATAACGGAATGTCAGCTTTTCTTCTTCTGGCGATTGCATTTATGCTTCAAAAATCATAAAAAAGGTGTTCAGATGTGGAGACTATCCATATAAGGAAACGTGTAAGTAACATCAACATTTGTTTACCACAGATCTTATTTTTCCCCCAAATCCAATTGCCTTTATCGAGGGAGCCCCAGTGTTCTATCTTCCTGGTTGGTCTATGTAAAACTGTCTTCACTGCACCACTCCATTCCCTTCAATCCATCATCCAATGAAATGGAATACATATGTAACACTGCTACCATTGTGGTAATGTCTTGCATATAATCTATGCTCCTGTTTAGCAATGTGTGAGCACAGGATAAAGAGAGAAGAGCAGCCCACCTGCAGCTCCGCTCTCCTGGCTGCAGCTGAGGGAGGAGGAGCGCACCGTCCTCAGGCGGAGGCTCTGGGCTCTCTGCTGCCGCGCTGCATCACACGTCTGGTTGGGATGCCACAGCTGCTTACAGTGGTAACAGAACTCTGTGCCACAGCCCTCTCTGCCGCACGTGATCTTAGGACAGCTGGCACAGCCGAAAGCAATGACTGCGAACCTGGTAGAAGACAAGCAAAACATATCAGGAAATGCAGAGATATAAATCCTCGTCATGACATCACAGAATGAGTTTTGTCTAAATGATGTCATTGTCTGCAATAACAAATGAAAAGACTTCTGAATAAAACTAGCATAAAATGTTAGATAAAAGAAAAATATGTATATTTAAGTAAATGTCTTGCATATAGAACGCCAGCAACAAAATTAGACAGCTGACATTGAGAATAGATGATGAAGAACTGTGTTCCTTTTCAAAACACTTCTGCTCATCTAGCTGGGGCCTAAGTTAGAATTTACAGATACCTAGGCCTGTCACGATAATTAATTTTATTGGACGATACATTTTTCTGGAAATTATTGCGATAAACGATAATATTGTCGGCACCGTTGTAGGACCATTTTAGACCACTGACATAATGATCATATATAATAATAATTCAAGTACATCCTTTCAAACATAACTTTTTATTGAACATTCAACATTGCAAATTAAATGTGAAATAATATTAAAATATATATAATAAATAAAACAAATTAATTAAATTATAATAAATTAATTATATCACACACAACCAAAACAATAAATTAAATAGAGTCAGGCTGGAAAACAGAGCTCTCTCTATCTATATATATATTTATATTATCTCACAAGCAAAAAAAAACTCCTTAAAACAACAGTCAAGTGTACAGTCCACTGTCAAAGACCCAGATGCCTCAACAGGCCATATCCAAATCTGTTTTTCAAAGTTTTCGAGCAAGGAACACCAACATGTTTGCATTGTCGGGCAAATGCATCTTTGATTGTAAGGTGGGGGCTCTCCATCTCCAGCTGCCGTGTTTGCTCCCAGCTGGGAAAACGGAATGGGGTGGTTGTGTTTTAGGCAGTGGCAGCTGGCCCATAGGGGTGCCGCCCGCCCTCTTTCCACATGTTTGATTGTCATTAAACATTTTTATTTTTTTTTAATGAACAAGGTAAACATTATATAGTTGGTATCAGTAAAATGTATAATCTACAATCAAATCTCGTTTAAAATTGTTTTACGATGTCTAAAGTTACTGATAAGTCACATGTTTCCTGCCTGGCCGCAGCGTGTATCATTACCCTCTCTCGTCTGGGCGGTAGAAAGGAGCCCTCAGCCAGAGCAGCAGCAGCCAACAAACTGACTGTTGCTATCTGTATACTATGCCGCCGAAACATAATTTCAGCGTCGTCAGATCTGATGCTCAAAGGGCGCCCTGTCAGCGCCTTGGCCTGTGTGTGTGTGAGTTGTTTGGACTCGTATCCAAGGTGACGCTACAGTAGTTGTCGAGGATGGCTGCGTCTCGGTGCTAGTGGATCGCCGGAGCTGTAGATTAACATTTACATGCTTATTGTAGTTGTAATGGCAATGCCTGTGGCACCATGGAGCATATGTGTGGGCTGGACCTGCATTTTACAGGAAAGGAGTGAGCAGAGTTGTCGATTCTTGTTCAGTTTTCTGTGACTCCTCACCCTATCATTCATTAGTCAAAACAGGGCTACATTTTATTTAATTATAAAAAGGTATATGTTGTAAACTGAAGAGCCGTTTGGGAGCCGAAAGAGCCGGCTCTTCTTGGTGAGCCGAGCCAAATGATCCGGCTCACCAAGAAGAGCCGGAATTCCCACCACTAGTTTCAGCCCCGCCCCTCACAGCACGCGTGGCCGGCAGCCACAGCGCTCCTAGCTAAAATGCTGGTCACATCCTTATGTAAACTAGTGATGGGAATTCCGGCTCTTCTTGGTGAGCCGGATCATTTGGCTCGTGAACCGTGCAGTGGTTGTGTGTGTCTACAGAAGGTCCAGTTGTGATAACTGGACCTTCTGTAGACACACACACCCCCTGCCGCCGCCCCCCCCCCCGTCCGCGGCATTATAATCTCCGTCTTTTCACTGAATTGTCGTCTTGAAAAGGGTACTCACAACAATTCCGCAACAACTTCATCTTCACCTGTTGCACTTGTCATTTCAACGTTAAAAACAATAAAACGGCATGAATTGCTTCGTCGCATTCATCTAGATCAGTGCTTCTCAAAGTGTGGTCCGCGGACCACTGGTGGTCCGTGAACGCCCCCTAGTGGTCCGTGAGTATATTGGTAACATTTCACATTTAAGTTTTATGCACTCTCGCGGGAATATCTCCGCAATGGAGCGAGCTTAAGTTTAACTTTCGATTGCCCAGCGCAACACCTTCATCACACATGTTGCCACGTGTTTGTACCATTTTCAGGTGATTTGTAATCTGTTCTAGAAAAACGATGTGATTTTGGATATTTGTGGAGTTAGGTGGTCCGCGAGTGTTTTTTTATTGGTTAAGTGGTCCTTGGTATGAAAAAGTTTGAGAAACACTGATCTAGATCCTCTGTCTCGAGCCAGTTAAGAGTTGCCTTCTAGAATACCCTGGAACCGAGGGAAACTCTGAAAGAATACGCCCATTGGCTACAAATCAATTATGATTGGTTGATCAAACTGTCAGTCCAAACGTACGCTCTCATTCAGTGCAACGGCCAGGGCATTCTATCAAGGATGTAGAATACCTTGGTTGAAGGACATTCTACCCAGAGACCCAGAACAAGATCTGATTGGTTGCTTTCTTTTCTAACACAAAACCACTTAAATGCGTAGTGCATGGTCCGAGAAGGACAAACAAATCAACGTAACACTGTCATATTACAGATCAACAACACAGATACCATTCTCATTTAATATACATTTTATTTATATAATTAAATCGATTTTTTGTTTGTTTTATCTGAGTGTTCCAGGGTATTCTCTGAATACCTTGAAGGCCCTGACGGTTCGCCACTGTCGAAATCATCACTTCTTAAAGAAAGGTTTGTGTAGAGTGCAATCCTATGTTCATAAATGTTTTAAGTGAGGTATATTTATCGTATTCTAAGTTTCAGTCTTCTAATTTAAGAGCTGGAGGTATATTGCCAAGAGATCGCTTAAAGTTTCCTTCTTACTAATCGTTTGTTTTGTTGCCATGCTGTGTATTTTATTTACTTCTTACCCACAGTCCGGCGCAGGGCACCAGCGGCAGTCCGGGTCAGCCACCAGCCACCTCCTCAGCATGAACTCCTCATATTTCCCCATGAGTGCCCGGTCACCCAGGATCATGCGGATGTCGTGAGGGTTGAAGCGCTCCGAGCACTCGGGGCAGCTGATGTTGACACGAGACTCTGAGATCTCGATGCGCAGATACTGCTGCAGGCAATCCATACAGGAGCGGTGGTGACAGGTCATGATGTCAGGGAAGCTCTCCCTGGAGTGGAGCAGAAGGCACAGCGGGCACTCCAGTAGATCTGCCGCCACCGCACCCCCCACCTTAGAGGAGGAGGAGGAGGAGGAGGAGGAGGTGGTGGTAGAGGAGGAAGGCCCAGAGGCAGATGAGGTGGAGGCGGCAGCAGAGGCAGCTCCGTCCCCAGCCACAGAGAAGAAGGCAGAGTGCTTATCGTTACACATCTCAGAGTGGATGCTCTCAATGCTGGCGATGCCATCCACACCGACTAGCCCAATGGGTCCCGGGTACTGGAGCTCTTGGGACCTTTGGTGCCCTGATTTGGGCTCCCGGCCTCGCAGCCTGAAGAGAGAGGCCAGGGAGAAGCGCCTCTTCTTGGGGGCCTTCTTCACAGAGGGCAGAGAGATGGAGGAAGCAGTGGACTGCAGGTCCCGGTCAGAGCCCAACCCCCCTCCGCTACCACCACCCAACTGCTGGTGCTTCTCCAGGCTCATCTCTACGGAGGGAGAGGGGGGGTGTGCCAGAGGCGAGCCGGAGCCCGGAAGCCTGTCCCTCACATGTGGAGGGAGGTGTTGAAGTGGGATGGGGCTGGGAGAAGGGGTAAGGTGGTGAATAGGGGAGGGGGAGGGGGATCCAGGGTGGGGGGACAGGGCTCCAGAGGGCCCGTCTGGGTTTAAGACATGGTGGCTTCTCCTGATCAACCTTGTGGTCACATCTAATAAACGGATTTTGGCTGAGGGGTGGGGGTCACCTGCTGCAAAACAGCAACAGAACCTGGAGAAAACAAAAGAGGAAAGAAAGGGAAATGGCAAGAGGGGGGGAGGAAGTGTAAAGGGGGAGAGGAAGTGTAAAGGGGGAGAGAAGAACAGAAAGGAGAGATGTCAATATACATACAGTGGGGCAAAAAAGTATTTAGTCAGCCACCAATTGTGCAAGTTCTCCCACTTAAAAAGATGAGAGGCCTGTAATTTTCATCCTAGGTATAACTCAACTATGAGACAAAATGAGAAGTAAAAAAAATCCAGCAAATCACATTGTCTGATTTTTAAAGAATTTATTTGCAAATGATGGTGGAAAATAAGTATTTGGTCAATAACAAAAGTTCATCTCAATACTTTGTTATATACCCTTTGTTGGCAATGACAGAGGGCAAATGTTTTCACACACTGTTGCTGGTATTTTGGCCCATTACTCCATGCAGATCTCCTCTAGAGCAGTGATGTTTTGGGGCTGTCGCTGGGCAACACGGACTTTCAACTCCCTCCAAAGATTTTCTATGGCGTTGAGATCTGGAGACTGGCTAGGCCACTCCAGGACCTTGAAATGCTTCTTACGAAGCCACTCCTTCATTGCCCGGGCGGTGTGTTTGGGATCATTGTCATGCTGAAAGACCCAGCCACGTTTCATCTGCAATGCCCTTGCTGATGGAAGGAGGTTGTCACTCAAAATCTCACGATACATGGCCCCATTCATTCTTTCCTTTACACGGATCAGTCGTCCTGGTCCCTTTGCAGAAAAAACAGCCCCAAAGCATGATGTTTCCACCCCCATGTTTCACAGTAGGTATGGTGTTCTTTGGATGCAACTCAGCATTCTTTCTCCTCCAAACACGTCTAGTTGAGTTTTTACCAAAAAGTTCTATTTTGGTTTCATCTGACCATATGACATTCTCCCAATCCTCTTCTGGATCATCTAAATGCTCTCTAGCAAACTTCAGACGGGCCTGGACATGTACTGGCTTAAGCAGGGGGACACGTCTGGCACTGCAGGATTTGAGTCCCTGGCGGCGTAGTGTGTGACTGATGGTAGCCTTTGTTACTTTAGTCCCAGCTCTCTGCAGGTCATTGACTAGGTCCCCCCGTGTGGTTCTGGGATTTTTGCTCACCGTTCTTGTGATCATTTTGACCCCACGGGTTGAGATTTTGCGTGGAGCCCCAGATCGAGGGAGATTATCAGTGGTCTTGTATGTCTTCCATTTTCTAATAATTGCTCCCACAGTTGATTTCTTCACACCAAGCTGCTTACCTATTGCAGATTCAGTCTTCCCAGCCTGGTGCAGGTCTACAATTTTGTTTCTGGTGTCCTTTGACAGCTCTTTGGTCTTGGCCATAGTGGAGTTTGGAGTGTGACTGTTTGAGGTTGTGGACAGGTGTCTTTTATACTGATAACGAGTTCAAACAGGTACCATTAATACAGTTAACGAGTGGAGGACAGAGGAGGCTCTTAAAGAAGAAGTTACAGGTCTGTGAGAGCCAGAAATCTTGTTTGTTTGTAGGTGACCAAATACTTATTTTACCGAGGAATTTACCAATTAATTCATTAAAAATCCTACAATGTGATTTCCTGGATTCTTTCCCCCCATTCTGTCTCTCATAGTTGAAGTGTACCTAGGATGAATATTACAGGCCTCTCATCTTTTTAAGTGGGAGAACTTGCACAATTGGTGGCTGACTAAATACTTTTTTGCCCCACTGTATATAATATTCAATATCAAAACCCACTCACAGTGATAAGGAGATGAAAGCCACATTTCCTTTTACTTCCAGAAAAGCATTCTTAAAAGCTTGACCTCAAATTGTAAAAGAAATAAAGAAAATTAGGTAGTCATTATCTATAATGCTCTCTCCACAAGTCTGCCTAAACCAGAGTAAATTCATTTAATTTGTCATAACATTTAAAGCTCCTTTAGTTTTTTATGAATGCAGTTTTGTTCCTTCCTGCCTTTGCTGGTTTTCTGTCAAATTCACAACATGTCAATAACAGGAATATCATGAAACTTCAGGCAATGTGGTTCACACACATGTGCACAAAGTACAAATAAAACTTTACAGTATACTACTAGTACTAGTTGGCCTTCTTTGCTGGAGGAGAGTACGTTTAATAAAAAGTCCACAAAGGTTATCGATCATCAAACACATGTAAACCTCTTGCTAGATGCTGGGTTGAGATAATGTGGTTTGAATAGAATTCTCAACATTACAATTAAGCGATGCAATGTATGAAGCAGATTCCACACTTAAGCTGCATTCACAAATGATGCGGTAAAAGTGCTCTGCGCTAACATTGCCGTTGAGTTTCTATGGAGAGAGCTGTGCATCCGACTCTGTGAAACTACCGTCGGCGCCGCACACCGCTTGAAATTGTTGCTGGTCACTGAACTACAACTTCATATTATTTCAACTTTGACCTGGTTAGGGATGCTCCGATCGATCGGTCACCGATCGAGATCGGCCGATACTCACTCTCTACCGATCGATCGGTGCTCTCTAAACATGCCGATCGCGAGAGCCGATCGCATGACACTTTTCTCTGTGTGCGGCAAAACAAGCTCGCCAAAATGGCTTCACCGGTCTGGCATTATTTTAAGGTGTCCGAAAAAGACAGTAAAATAGCGGTATGCAACGTGTGTGAAGCAGAAATCCTGCAGCTCCGCCCGCCGGACCGGTGAGCGGAGCGAAACACACAAGAGTTAGACCTAACACACTTAGCTATTTTATCTACCTCTGGAACAAGCTAAACTAGTCATTATAAATATATGTATTCTTCACTGTCGGGTCACTCATTACTGGATCAGTGAGCTGCATGAGATACTGACAGGCTGTCAGGAGGGAGAGAGGGGGAGAGAGGAAAAGAGCGCTTCCGCTCATTTCTCCCGTGTTATTATCCAAAGTGAATGTAAACTTGAATAATGTACATCATTTTAATGTAATAATTAAGTTGATTGTTGTTTGTGGAAGCTCCAGTGAATGAGCCCCATTAACTGAGTTTAAACATCACTTTAAATGGAAGATTTAAAGTGATGTTTAAATCTTCCATTTAGGCCCCGCCCACTCGATCGGATCGGCCCCGAAATTGGCGATCGGAGCATCCCTAGACCTGGTTACTGCTGATGAACTTTTGATGTGCAAACAATCAAATAACAGCTGTATGTAACTGCAAAAAGCAAGCAGGTAACCATAGAAACAAAACTTAGCTTGCCGTTTTCACCGCAAGGCTCTGCGCCGAACCTCACGATGAGCAGAGAGCAAATCACATATCGTATGAATTCAGCTTCAGGCTATGTGAACTGAGCCATCTCTATCCACCAATTAAAACCCTGAGATAGGAACCAAAAGCTCTGGAAATAGCTAGTTAGTGGACCATAAGTTTAGATTATTTTATCAAAGTCTAGTCAGCAGACTTTTTTTGTAATTATAATAATTTTGCCTGTATAAATTCCTAAGGTAAAATGTAAGGTACAAGGTGTAAACTGTCCTCAGGAATGGAGGACGTACTGTAAAAAAATTACCAATATGAGAACTTAATTGAATATGATGATATAGTGCACTGCTTACTTCCTGCTAATATCTAATCCCTCTTTTTGTCTCCTGAAAGGTTTTTTGGTTAATAAACCTTTTTTACCTCATAAACTCTGTCTCCTCTTCCTGGTGTTCAGCATTGTGAGTTCAATCCTGTAAACTCGTGGAGAGCGTAACAGTACGAACTGGTCCAAATGAACTCCGCTGACACTGGATCGGATCCCGCTGCTCTTCAGCACGCCCTTTCTCATCAGGGAAATCTTCTGGGCCAACATGAGCAGATGATCCGAGCCTTAGTTGACAGCAATCAGTCCATGGCACTACACATCTCGAACCTTGCTGCTCAAATCTCTACCCTGACGTCTTCTGCTGCATTTCCTGCCCCCTCCAATCCACCTCTGGATTCAACTCCATGCCGGGATTTTCCCATTGCCGACCCTGAGTCTTTCCATGGAGAGGTGGAGAAATGCACAGAATTTCTGTTTCAATGCAGCAAGGTATTTCGCCAGCGCCCCTTGCCTTTTTCTTCTGAGGTGACTAAAATTAACTATGTGTTGAGTTTGCTTTGTGGAAGAGCTTTAACCTGGGCCATTGATTGAGTTCTTCTGTGGATTACGACACTCTTTCCTTTGGAGTTTTTTCTGATCATTTTTCCTCTGTTTTTGATCACCCCGACCACTCTGGCTCAGCTTCTAGTCGTCTGCTAAATTTACAACAAGGGACTCGAACCGTTGCAGATTACTCTATCGAGTTTCGCACGCTGGCGGCAGAAGCCCGATGGGACGAGGCGGCTTTAAGGGCTGTGTTTGTTAGGGGATTGAAGGATTAACTGAAGGATGAGCTGGCAGCAAGAGATGAGCCTGCTGATCTCCAATCCTTAATGTCTCGTCTCGACAGCCGGCTGCAGGAGCGCCGTGCGGAGCGAGCGCAGCGTTCACCTTTTGCTTTGCCAAGTAAGCCAAACATCTCACCCCAGTTTGCCCCCTCCCAGTCCAGACCATCTGGCTACACCTCACCACCTCGCGTGCCCACCTTTGCTAAGGAGGAAGCAATGCAGTTGGGACGCGCCGGATTATCCCCTGAGGAGCGCCTTCGACGTTTGAGGTCTGGAGAGTGCCTGTATTGTGGTAAAGCTGGGCATATCCTTTCTGGTTGTCCTGTCCGCCCAAACGCAGGGGCTCGTCAGTGAAATTGGGGGTCCTGACGAGTTCGCAACCTACACCTATTGAAGCCCCAACTTTGAGCCGTTTTCTGATTCCTGCCAGACTTTGTGCTAACTCTCAGACCTTGCCCCTCTCTGCCTTCATTGACTCTGGTGCTGAGTGTAAGAGAATATTTTAATTTGATCTTGATTATAGAGTTTCTTATAGTTTCTTAGAATCTGTGATACTGCAAACATGTGTTTGTAAGTATCAGTCAAAGACTCCTCTGTAAATTGAGGTCACAGGTCAAACGCTTCTCCCATATCCTGTGGGG